TAATTTTCATTAATGTTTAAGGCTGTTCATTCTAATCTTCTTAAAACAAATTGTGTATTCATACCACCACTTAATTTGTCAACTATATCAGAATGTGAGGTCTTTTTCAGTTAAATCCAAAGCCTTTAATGGAGTTGAAATATGACCTATAGGGAGAATGTTTTAAAGGGAAATTTCTCAAAGTGTAGTTTATACCTGTTCTGAGTCCTTTGAGAATTATTTCAGCCATTGAAATCTAAAATAGGAAACAACTGCTAACAAATAAAACTTATATTACCTCCTTTTAAAAAGTGTTAAATGGTGAAATATGATCTGAATAGAATATTCACTCTTGGTCAGTAGCCATTTAATTTTTAAACTTACCAGCTAAATTAGGTGACTGAGTTTCTAGGTCTTTCAAATCGGAAAAGATTGAATGTTTAATGTGGGGACAATATTGCGAGCAGACCCTTCAGCCCAGAAGAGGACACAGCCAGTTCTTTACCTCTGTCTCCCTTGGTGGTCTTAGGGAAAGGAATCCCCTTGGGTGGGGAGTCAGGCCAGCTCTCAGCTTATGGTACCCACACTCCTGTGGACTTGGGGCCTTTCTTGTCCTCTAGCCTACTGGAAGCTTAAGGGTGTCCACACTCAATCTTCTTCTTAGCAGGCTATTGGGTCTCCGATCCCCACTCCCCTCCCCTCCCTCTCCAGCTTCTACCCTCTTTAGTTCTGAGGTGTCCATCTCTTAGTCCACCTAGGCTTCCCCTGCATGATCCAGAAAAGGGTTCTGGTTTCAGTGGAAACACCCATCCTCAGAAAAGCGTTCCATGACCTTCCACTCTAAAATTAGTTTCCCCACTTTTCTCATCTTTTCTGTTATTTTCTCTCACAGAACCCTGTTCTTTTTCTTCATACTTTACACAAAGAAATGTTTCATTTCCCTTTGTGATCTTTACTTGTTTAATCCCTGTTTCCCTCATTTAGCTGGAAGCTACATGAGACCATGGATCTGTCCTGATCACCACTACTTAGCCAGAACTTCGCATGTGTTCTGTAACAAAATGCTTCACGCATTCTGCAAATAAACAGATGGTTCCTTTTGGATGTACCAGGTTTATATTTTTAAATTATAAAATGTATTTATTTGGTGATACTGCAATGTTTTCCATCAAACTAAACCCAAAAAAGAATATTTTTCTTCCATAATATCCAGCACTGTAAAATCTTTGTGATAAAGAATTGTTCTCAATTTCTGTCTTTGTCACCCTGAACTGAAAATAGAGGGCTATGTGGGCCCAGTGTGTTTGTCTCAATATGGGATGACAATTTTATTATATTTTATGGCTTTCTCAAAACAGAAGTTTTCCCTCTGCGTTTGCGTTGCCTACAGTTCTCATGAAACAGGGAGAAAATAAAGCTTCTGAAATGGTTAGTCCAGTTAAGGCACGTAAGTGATTTAAGTCTTTGCTGTTAGTTTAACCAAGTTAGGAAGTTAGAAAGCCTGGAGGGCTTTCATGGAGAACTCGCTGTTTTTTTTCTCGTAGCTGTTCGCTCTGTCTGGTGCAGACTGTCAGTGCTGCCTTTTGTCTTCCTACAGCTTGGAAGCGGCGAGGGCACTGGGAGGCCGGGGTTAGACGAGAGAGTGAGAGACCTGGTTCTACCTGTGCTTCCAGCCGGGATTCCCTCACAGGGAGGACGTGAGGTTTAGATATGGTATTGCGTGGAGTGCTTGCGGCTTCACACCTGTAATGCAGAAAGACTTCATGGGTTTTATGAATCTGAACATGTCGCTTCCCAGCTGTGGATTCCCTCCGCTGTTAAGGGAGGGGGAGCCTTGTATGCCCTCCGTATCCCCTCCGCTCTGTGATTCTATAATTCACTTATTCGCAAATGTTTATAGACTAATAAGCAAATACTCACTAGCTGATGATGTGTGGCACGCCCCTGGGTTGCTGATGCTGCTCCTGCAGTCACAGAGTGTACGCTGACACTGTGTGTCAGAGGTGGTGGGGAGAAGGTTGAGTTTGTCTGTTTCCATCATTGAACATAGACACACAGCAAATAAACTGTGACCTGAGATAATCTGGAAGTGGGGGAGGGTAATTTTAAACAGGGTCTTGAGGACAGCTTCTCTGAGGAGGTGACGTTTAAGCTGAGACATAAGCAGTGAGCAACAGAAAGCCAAGCAAGTCTGTGGGAGAAGATGGCAGTGAAAGAAAAAGTGACTGCAGACTCAGCTAAGAGTGTGGTAGGGGGAAGGATTATTTTCCCTCTACCCTTCTAGGTTCTTGGCTGAGACACCCCTGTGTAAAAGACAGATAAACAAGAGAAAAACAAGCAGAAGTTTAATATCCTGTATACATGAGAGATACCCAGGAAAACTGAGTAACTCCCCCATATGGCCCAAGCCACCACCTTAAGTACTATATCTAGTTAAAGACAAAAGAAGATGTTGCGGGTGGGGCAGTTATGAGAGGTGACAGGTAAAGCACAGCAAATAGGGGTAAGGCTGTTCTGCAGATTTAAGCGGTTTCCTCCTCCATTGGGAGGAGTTTCCAGAGATTTAGAGTCATCCTTCTCCTGCCACAGAGAGGGAGGCACCCTTACAGAGGGAGATTCATCTTATAAATGTAAATGTCTCTTACAAAAGGCTAACTTCTGGGTTTTCAGAGCTGCTTCTGTGTGTGCTGTTTCTTAAAAATAACTAGCTCAAGATAATCCTTAGGCCAAACAGGCATATTTTGGGATGGCAAATTCTGCTCCCCTTCGAGTGAAAGAACGTAGTCGATTCAAGAAGTGAAAGAAGAGTCCTGTGTAGAATGATGGGAAGGAGAGGGGACAGATAAAGCTGCCAGCCTTCACAAGGAGCAGATTATGCAGAGATTTATGGGCCAGGAAAAGAGATTCAGATTAGAGTAATACCAGAGGGCGTGGAATGAGTTGATTCATGTTGGACAGGGACTCTGGCTGCTGTGAGGAGACCCTAGTGGAGAGGACTGGGTGGGGGAGAGTTGGGAGACTAGACACAGTACCCCAATGAGAGGTGATGAGAGCCTCTCGCAGGGACCCTGGGCTGGGTGGGGAAGGGTGGGCTGCTCTGAGATGCGGCTGGAAGATGTGGTAGACAGGATTTCTGGGATTGTGAGATTTTGCTTATTTAACTATTTATCTTGCTGATCTATTCTCTTCTCCCATAGTCTCCTTGAGGACGTGGATGTAAACGGTTGTATTTGTTTAGTGTGTACCTCTTTTCTTTATGCCCCTGCCTAGAACAGGGCTATGAATTAGGCGCTCGGTGTGTTTGCTGAATGAGGGAAAGCATCTATCTTTGTGTTTGGTTTCTAGACATCCTGTCAGGGCTGCACCCAATAAGACAGTCTTTCAGAAGGCAGCAGACTTCTGAAGTGGAAGGAAACTCAGGACCAAACCACACATTCTGGGACTCCTTTTAGGAATGAGAAGCTGAATCCTAACATAGGGCCAACGTAAGGCCTGGGACAGCCCCTCTGATGCCACCCATCCCCCACAGGCTGGGTTAGGTGCCAAGCCTCTATGTTCCCATGGAAACCTGCCCTCACCCTGCCACCCCCTTGTGTTCTGTACCATACTTGAATATTTGTGTCTGGCTCCCGTAAACTGCATGCTCTATTTGTGAAGCTCCTGCATAGTTGTATGCACAGCTCTTACCCGGGTGCCTGGCACCTAGCTGGTGCTCAGTGAACATGTGTTGATTCAGTCGCTCATCAGTCAGTTAGTCATCTCAACTGCTGCAGTTGAGAGTGTATAAAGGGCTTCTATGATGGTTATTTTTCTCCCCTTGTAAGGTGGCGAGGGCAGGAAGAATTCTCCCCATTTTGCACATGAATGCGGCAAGGGCTAGAACACTGGTTCACAAACTCATTTGTACATTAGAATACTCATCTGGGCAGTTAAAAATATTCTGATACATCCATCACAAGGACAGAGATTCTGTTTTGGGCGGTGTGGGATTCTGCCTGGGAGTGAGTGACTCTGTGCATGGGCGTGCATGTGTGTGTATTTAAGATCCCCAGGTGTTTCTAATATTCGGCAAAGTTTAAGAATTGTCTGTATTGGTGTTTCTCAAATTTTAAGAGGCATCCAGATCACCTGGGGATCTAAATAAAATTCAGATTCTGATTCAGCAGGTCTGGGGTAAGACCTGAGAATCTGCATTTCTAACAAGCTCCTGGGTGAGGCTAAAGCTGCTGGTCCACAGGCCACACTTTCATAGCAGGGCCTGGATAACAGGGAAATTCTAGACCAAGTGCAGGGAAGAGGGGGTACAGGATGCTGAGAGAAAGGCAGGGGTGTATTGTAGCTGAAATATCAGGTACAAAGATACACGTATTGTGCCATGAACTTGGAAAGCAAAGCTGAGATGGGGTGGGCTTCTGAATCCCTTCTTTCTTCTCCACTTAGCAGATAGGTCTCTTCGTAATGATGCTGCTCATCAGATTCCCCAGACCCCTACTTAGAGATACCCAGTGACCGCTCACTCCTTTCTCTGCCCTCTTGCTAGTCTTTTTACTTAGCACTCATGAAATCAAGATGGAATGTCTTTGTTTTTACTGTTTACACTCTGAGTTCTTTGAGGATGGGACTGTTTTTAAATTCGTTACTTCTTTCAGTGTTTATCACAGTGTCTGCCTTGTCATAGATGCAGAGACTTATCTGCAGATGTCCCATGGCTCAGCCCTTCAGTCACAAACAAGATTGGCAGCCTAAAATAGTAGCTAAGAGCCCTGCGTCTGAGGGTAGAGAACTCTGGGTGCCACTACTAGCTTTCCCACTTCCTATCTTAGCCTCAGTTTTCTCATCTGTAAAATGGGGGTAATAATAGTTGCAACGGCTAATGGTGCAGATAAAATGAAATGATACATGCCAAGCATTTGGCACAGTTGCCTGCACACAGGAAGTAGCCAAGAAACAACTGCTAAAAATCGTCCCACCAAAAGCGACCCACGGAATCGTTAATATCTCCTTTGTATTCGGCTTTTTAGTCAGGTCTAATAAGGACACGAAAAAATGAATTCCTCATCTCGCCGTTACCTCAGCTCCTGGCCCAGGAACACAACTACAGCTCACCTGCTGGCCACCATCCTCACGTACTGTATAAAAGGACAGCCGAGGAGAAGGTCCAGCGTTGCCTGGGCAACCCGGGCTCCAGCCAGAATTTTCTTGGTCACCCCCCAAGTCACTCTCCCCACACACCTCAGAGTCAAGAAAGAGAGCATCGCCATCGAAGGTTGCAAAAGCATCATTTTTGTGGACGACGCAAGAAATGTATGTAAGGAAACTTTTTCTTGTTCTATTCTTCTGGGGGCCCTTGACAGGTTTTCTCAAATGCTGTTGGGTTGCTGATTTTGCGGGTTGAAATGGGGCTACACTAAGCACCCTCTGAAGTTAGGAATCATCCTTGTCAGGGAAAAACTGGATGGTTAGTTCTAGGTAAAACTGGAAAGATTCTGATAAGCGTTTTTCTTTTTTCTTTTTTGCTCTTCTAGACTCTCCTAGGTTTTAGTCAAAGGTTCCAATGTATCATTTTGGTTTCTGTGCTCATGAGAAAAGTACTCAGTCTTCCAAATGATGAAAGAAATCAGAGGTGACTCCCAGCTGTGGTTGGGGTTCCTTTTAGGACTTTAAGAAGAAACTTCCCAGAAAACAACATTAGCACTTGAGTGGAGGTGGCAGTGAAACACAGGGACCCTTGGGCATGGTTTATGACCCAGGCACAACCTTCTGCATTTTCTAGACCAGCAATGTCCTTTAGAAATATAATGCCAGCCCCAAATGTAATTTTAAATTTTCTGGTAGTGACATTAAAAAAATTTAAAGATAGGTAATTCATAATATATTTTATTTAACCCAATATATACAAAATATTTTCTCAACATGTAATCAATATAATAAGTTATTAATGAGGTATTTTACATTCTTTTTTTCATATTAAGGTTGGAAATCTAGTATTTATTTTACACTTACAGTACAATTTTGGATCAAGTGACAAATTCTCACCAGAAATGTTTAATCTGTCTCCAGGTTTTTATAAAATTTAACGTTGAAAAACTAGAGTTACATACTCAAGTTGCTCCAAACATCAAGTTTTTCAATAACAGAATCAAGTATTACTTTTTTAATTAAATAAAATAGAAATTTCAGTTCCTCCAGTGGCACCTACCACATTTCAAAGGCTCAGTAGTCTTGAGTGGCAAGTGAGTACCGAGTTGGACAGAGCAGTCAGATGACAGTTTCATCCATGGAGAAGAGGAACTGGTGTCTCTGAGATGTTGATCAGGAGCAATAATGAAAGACAGCTTCTACCATTTTAATTGGTTTTGGGGTTTGGGTGTTATTGAAATATCCTCATTAAGGAACATCTATTGGCATGGATCTATAATAACAGTGGCATTAAGAACAGTAGTGTTATTCAAAGAGGCCATGGTACGTATTGGATATGAGATATCAAAACTAATCTCTGGAGCAACCTTATGATTGGGTATTAGGCTCTTTTCATTGATGGGGACCTGAGACTCAAGGTCACTCATCAATGTGGACAACCTAAGGTTTTGAATCTAACTCTGGATGGTTTGATCTTTTAATTTCACTCTGTGGAAAGCTGACTTTACTATTATGACTATTCCAGTTGTTAAAGTATTTCTGCATTAGTAATACACAGTTACTGTCCTGAGCTCTCCAAATGCCATCTTCCACCCCAGCAACCCTTGGGTTGTCACTATCCATTAACTAAAGGGGTCATGCCTGACCCAACAGGCACTCCCAGGTCTCTGCTCAAAGTTATGGCCAGTATCCATTCTGTTAAGGTGGTGCCCCCATCTTACCTGTTAAAAAGTATCATATAGTTTTAAATGTCACCCCTGACAGTGCTGTTTCCCCAGTAACTAAGTCAATATCGGGTCAGCCAGTCCTTATTGACCACTCATTCTGCACCACATTAAAGTTTGTGTTGATGAGACAAGAGTATAAGACACGGACAGTGTTCTACAGGATATATATTTCTAAATTTTATTTAGAAAATAATATATAAAGTGTTATCATGAATTCAGATGTAAAGGATAGTGTCTATTTCTGCAGTTTTTTAGCAATAAAATAAAATGAGCATTTTCTGTTTTTAAAAAGACAATTCAAGAAATATTGACTTTTCTTGACCCACTCTACTGGCTACAACTGTAGCTTGTCTTCTTTTACTCTGTAGAGCGTTTTTGAATTCCACCCATCCACCCATCCATCTATACTTCTGTTGAATGAGTCTTTCTTGAGCAGATGCAAGGTACAAAGCCCAAGGACAGGCAGCAATGGCATCACTTACCAGTGGATTAGTGAAGTGATGGTTAAATCGTCTCTCTCCTCCTTGTTCAGATTTCTGTCTATCTCACCCAGATGTTCTCTACTGATTTCCTTCCCAAATGCTCTTATGTCCATTGTAGATGCCCCCAAGCCTCCCCCAGAGGACACCTATCTCAGGTTTGATGAATACGGGGGCGCAGGGCGGCCCAGAAGATCAGCTGGAAAGTCACAAAAGGGTCTAAACGTGGAAACCCTTGTGGTGGCGGACAAGAAAATGGTGGAAAAGCACAGCAAGGCAAATGTCACCACGTACATTCTCACAGTCATGAACATGGTAAGGGGGTTGTCAGAACTCCAATCCTCCAGCTCTCCAGAACAGCTAAAGATCGTAGAATTCTCTTGCATGAGTTGAATAGCAGAAGTAGCTGCATGATTTTATTGAAAAAAAACCCCCGAGTTTTATTTAAGGAAATTGGTTTCATGTGGACATATATTTGGTAAAATTGAAGCCTATATACTTATAAACATGGTTGATTGGTTTTCCTTCTCCCTCCACAGTTTTGGATATTTTGGGATTTTATTTTTGTTTGATTTCAATGGTTTCAACAGGTTTCCAGCCTATTTAAAGATGGGACCATTGGGAGTGATATAAACATTGTTGTGGTGAGCCTCATTCTTCTGGAACAAGAACCTGTGAGTGGCAGACTTCATTTATTCCTTCATTCATTCAGCATTCAGGATACACTTACTGGATACCTACTATGTGACAATCCATGTACTGGTCATTAGAAATTCAAATTTGAAAATATGCTGATGCTACCCTCAAGGAAAGTACAGTCTAATAGAGTTGTGTATTCAAATAACTAAAACATCACAAAATAATTATATATGCATATATATACAATGCCACATAAAATATAATTAAGTATGCACATATACATATAAATATAAAAGATATATGTTACACTATATATAAAAATTAAATATTATGTAGGCTTCACAAGGAAGGGGCACTTGATGATAGACTTAAGGGTTAGTTGGATTTTGCAAGTTGGATATGCTGGGTAATTGCAGGTAAACGTAAAAGGATGTTTTGAAAATATGCTCAAAATAAGTCATTCTAAAATTCTTGTAGTAAACCTGTTGTCTCCCCCACACCATCTTAGGCACTGCAGAGAATAAACAAGGACTATTTAACTGCCCTTGAATTGATTACAGTGAGGTACAAGACAGGGGCATGGGGCAAATTATAAAACCAGAACATATAATATAGTGTTAAATTGCATGGCACGCTGTGCTTTGCAGCGTTTTGATGTTGAAACTGTATTTTTCTGAAGTGGGATTACGAATCAAACAGACTGTTTTTAAGTCCCCTGTGGCTTTTCCTCTTCATCTGTAACCTCAGTAACAAACGTACAAAGCAGAGAGTCAGAGACAAGACAAAAATGAATCTAATTGCCCAGGTGTGTCGAGCTACACAGGTCAACAACTTGTCAAATTATCCTTGGAATTTTAGAAAGGTGGAAAGGGTGTATATTGTTTTGGAGCCACTTTTGTCTTTAACCTACCACTTATACTTTGCCCAAGGACTTTGAAGCCAGTGGCATCCTAATTCACTGATAATTAAAGATCTTGTCTACAAACCCTCAACTTGACCCAAGTCAATAGTTTTAGGCAAACATTTTGATAAAGAATTATTTTAAGGGCAAGTCCTATCTTATCCTTTAGAGTCTTCTATTTGTTTCTTCATCCATTCATTGAGCTTTCATTGTATTGATTGATTCATTGTAACCTATGATGGGCCAAGCTCTTTCCTGGAAACTTTGACATGGGGTAAATAAGCTATGCTCACTAACTTCCTCCTGCCTTCCTGAGGAAGGCATTGAACTTTGTCACCATTAATTCATAACTGCGTATGTTTTAAAAGTTATGACAATTTTATAAAGGTGGTACCAGCATGAGATGAACAAAGATGTCCCTAACTGATGTCAAGTTGTTTGTTGTAGAAATACAATTGGTCATAAACTACATTACTGAAACTCTGTAGCTACTTTAAATACTGTAAGCATTTACCCAAAATAGTTTTTGTTTTTATGTTGTATTTTTTTACCAGTTGTCTCCAACCTTAGCTCAAGTGTTTTCCTCTACTGACCTTTCTCCCTAGAAACATGATGTTTCTGTGTTTGCCTGTACAAATGGAACGATTCAGCATTCTCATCTCTGTGACAAATTCACACTCTGATTTGTGTGGGTTTCCCATAGGGAGGATTATTGATCAATCATCATGCAGATCAGTCTCTGAATAGTTTTTGTCAGTGGCAGTCTGCCCTCATTGGAAAGAATGGCAAGAGGCATGACCACGCCATCTTACTCACGGGATTTGATATTTGTTCCTGGAAGAATGAACCGTGTGACACTCTAGGTATGGTATGAACAGAGGCTTCATGCAACTTACGTTAGCAGAAAACACAGTATGGAAGCTTTCTATTGGGTGGGTGGCCCTTATGATCCTTAATGAGGAGACTAATCTTTAGATTATGAGTATCCTCACTGTAGCTGCTGGTAAATTCTGTTCTGATTAACTGAACTCAGTGTGGAATGGGGAGCCCATTTGCTTTTTTCCTTTTGCATTTTTCTTTGTTAATTCTATTGATCACCGTTGAGGCATGGGAAAAGTTGTTTAACTAGATAAATTGTGGATTATTCCATTAGCATCATGACTGCAGAACTGGGTAGTTGAAGAGAATTTGACCCGGCTCCATGGTGCTTACCTGTGCCTCTAGGTAGCAGCGCCTCCTTTAGACAGTTACTTGACCTTTGAAGGACTCAGCTTTTCTATATTTGTACAAGATAGTGAGTAAGGATGAAATCTTTTACATCGGTACTATATTTTCTAGCATATTCCATTGCATATAGTAGGAATTGAACAATTTTTTTGATGAATTCATAATCATCTAGATCATTGCTGATGATGATGGTGGTGATGATGATGGTTCCACCCATGATATGTGCCTATACCTTAGGTTGTCCATATGATCTCACTTATATTATGGCAGCGAAATGGGTGCAATCAATTCCCAGTGTGTATTTAATACTAACTGGGTGCATAGCCTTGTTCTGCTGGTTATGAGGACCCAAAACTGGAAGGAAGACATTTAACACTATAAGGTAGTTCAAGATAGTATCAAGGACTGGCTGGAATATTTTATAACTACTCTTAGAAGGAAGCAGTTTTGGGGAACAGGAGCATTTATCACATTATAGTGAATAGGAGAAAAATGAATTTAATCTTCTCACATTTTTCAGGCCTTTCCATGTTATCTGCTTTAGAATCAGACTGGGATATGTGTTCTCTTAGAAAATATACCTTGAGCTTTGATTATAAGTGGACATTTTGTGTCGGTTTAACTATCATTTCAGCAATTGCTCTGACCCAAATAATAAAGATATTTGGATAAGGCATATAAATGTCCTATGACTTACTATTCTGTATGTAAAATAGGAATTGCAATACTCACATTTCACAGGGTTGTTAGGAGGTCAATTGATGACAATACCTTTAAAAAGCAAGAAAATGTTAAATGCTGCATTTATCTATTTGGACAGGACAGAGAACAATATACCGTTAGTGTTTTCCTGCAAAAAAATTAAATACTTTAATCTGTTAAACTAAAGCTGTGCAGAACATTTTGAGTACCTAAGAAATGATCAGGTATCTGTATGTATTTTCTTTGGACTAATTCTTAAAATTGCTCCTTCAATAGGGTTTGCCCCCATCAGTGGGATGTGCAGTAAGTACCGAAGTTGTACCATCAATGAGGACACAGGACTTGGCCTGGCCTTCACCATCGCTCATGAGTCAGGGCACAAGTAAGTGACCCCTTCATTCACCACTTTGTGTGAAGACTGGTTGGGCAATTCACTGGCATTCCTCTAGTGATTATTATTGATCTAGGTAGAATAAATAGGATAAATCTTGTGTAGCACTTAGAGTAGTACCTGACGTTAAGAAAGGCCCAGTAAAGGCTAACCATTGTTGATGTTGCTCTTTTTAAAAACGACATTTAATAGCTACACAGTATTACATGGTGTGTAGAAATGGACACCTAGACGTATACTAGGCATACTAAGTTCTATCTAAGGGGCCCTCTGGTCTTCTAGGCATTTCTTTATTTTAGTCCATGTTTTGATACAGTTAAGGTACTTTTAGTTCCTTAGATAAAAGGAAATAATCAGAGAGACATGCAAATTCCCAGAATGTAATGGCATGCTAATTGTTTAAAAAAATTTGATGCATATACTGGATATTCTTTGTACTGGTGTCTTTGCATGTACTTAATAGTCTTTTAATTGGTGTTAGTAGGTCTTTTGTGAGGATAGAGTTAGGAATGAGGAGTGAGAAACCTAAGAGTAATGAGATGAATTTATTTTATGAGGCATATAATCTGGCGTGGAGACAATTTTACAGAGAATTTTCAAACATTTGAGCAATAGCATGGGCATTGGAATAGCATACTGCTTTACAAAATGACTCTTTCAAAAGACAGTGCTCTTTGGATGTATGAGTTTAGGAATGTTTGTGTGCATTTTCAACATTTTTATTGAATGCTCATTTTCAGAGCATCCAATTAATTTCTGAATTAAATGTAAAAGCAAACATCATCCATTCCAGAACTATAATTTGTACATTGGCATTTTGGTGTTAGTATCTCTTATGAGTAGATTTGTTCAGGAAATTTGAATCTTGACCGTTGCTGTTATCAACAGTTTCCCAGCATTTTATGTATTTACACAGCCGCCTTCTTAGCAAGATATGAATAAACCAATTTTATTGTGAATGGAGTTGCAAAAATGCCTGTTAGGCACAGGCCATTTTGTCCAGAGCAGGAAATAAAGTATCTGTGAATGTCAAATATATATTTTTTAATTTGTTTCACCAGCATAAAGTCCAAATTAACAATTGTCAGTTTTCAAATTACTGGCCATTAAAAACTTAATTACCCTTGCTTGTGAGTTGAAGTTACCAAAATCAAAATACAGCATTTTATTACTTATTTATTTATTTATTTAAGGAAGATTAGCCCTGAGCTAACTACTGCCAATCCTCCTCTTTTTGTCAAGGAAGACTGGCCCTGAGCTAACTACTGCCAATCCTCCTCTTTTTGTCAAGGAAGACTGGCCCTGAGCTAACATCCTGTGCCCATCTTCCTCTACTTTATATGTGAGATGCCTACCACAGCATGGCTTGCCAAGTGGTGCCATGTCCACCCCCGGGATCCAAACCAGGGAACCCCGGGCCGCCAAAGCGGAACGTGCGCACTTAACCTCTGTGCCACCGGCCAGTCCTCAAAATACAGCATTTTAGATAGGGAAAAACAAAGACATTCTCCAGGTAGCATGGGAGAGAAGAGTCACATGTAAGGGGGAAGAATAGAGATAAAATAGAATTCATACTCCGTTCTAGATAACATGGCCTTATAGAGTTAAATTTTGAAAAAGACAGTTCATGAGATTTTAATGTGACATTTGACATGTGCTAAAGAAAATGCATACGATCATCTAAAATGCTGTTAAATTAGAAAATTCAGACATAAGTTCAAAATTCAATTGAAACTAGGTTTTCTTATGTCTGTAAAGCTCCAGTGAAGTGCTACTTTGACTCCCTTTTCCTCTTTCAGTAATGGCTTCAATCTCTCCCCATTCCATCCCCGTTTTGGGGACTTGCACTCTTTCTTCTGGTACTTTTTATATAAGTTTCCCTGCGTTTTTGACTTTTACAAATATATTTAGAAAGGGTGTCTTCAAAACAAACCCCCTTCATTTCCTGGTTAGTTTGCCTGGTTAAGCAAAGCTGAGGACAGGAAAAACAGTTTCCCTGAGTATATGTTGAGGTTAGTAAATCCCTGTTTGTGAATGTGTCACCTCTGAATACCTGGGGCATTCACTGATAGGATCACAGGATACAGCCATCCCTCCATTGCTTGCCTGAAAAATTGGGAGGAATGTTGGAAAAATGGCTAGTTTATAGACATGGGTCATAGCAAAATCATATCTATGGTTATAACATAATTATTTATTTGGTATAGGCTACCTTCAAAGGATAGTTGTATTAATAAGACTATATCAGAATAACACATTTATTTCCACAGGAATCATATCTGCCTCATAAAAATATATTCTTAGACAAATTTTACTCCTTTAAATAATTAGGTTAAGAACAACCTAAATTAATGATAAAATTGATATCCCTCTGTCCTCTGCCTCCCTAGAAAAAACACAAAAAGCTTTTTTAAAAAGACGTATATTTATTTTCTTCTTCTTTTTTTTTTCTGAGGAAGGTTTGCCCTGAGCTAACTGTTACCAGTCTTCCTCTTTTGCTTGAGGGAGATTCACCCTGAGCTAACATCTGTGCCAATCTTCCTCTATTTTGTATGTGGGTTGCTGCCACAGCATGGCTGCTGATGAGTGGTGTAGGTCCATGCCTGGGAACCGACTCCAGGCCACTGAAGCAGAGTGCACTAAATTTAATCAGTAGGCCATGGGGCCAGCCCCCACAAAAAGCGTTTCTGTGTACTGAATTTCTTAAAGACGACCAGAGAAGCTTGTTGCCACATCTACCCCTTTAATATGGCCTGAAGTAAGCTCTCCCTTTATGGTGTATGTATCATATGTGAGTATATACATAATGTTACATTTATTTTACCTCTCAGGAGACTTGAAAATCATTTAGGTGTAATGAACATGATTTCTAGGGAGTAAACTACCTAAAATTATTTTTACTCTCCGCTTGCTAGAACCTTCTGTGGTGAAATGGGACAAATCCATGTCTTCTCAGAAAAATGCATTCAAAAGAAGTCCTGCATGTGCCTTCAATAGATGGGTTCAACCATGAATTCTTAAAGATGTTTATGATTATAGGGGAGTTTAATTATGATCGGAGTTTGTGATTTCAGCTAATAAACTGATCATTAGAGAGAAGGTTACGTATCACACTGGCTGTATGCATGAATAGTCCCTAAACAACTTATAATCAGCTTCTCTCTGTTCCTACCTCCTACTTGCTCTGAACTTCCTTGCCACAGTTCCACAATTGGTGGCAAGAAAAGAATTTTGCCATTTGAAAAAAGAGAATTTGACTATCCCATCACTTCAGCTTAGAAATCTTGACCAAAATTTTCTCACCCTTGAACTATGTAGCAGGTGTACCATTTTTTGATTTTGTGGCCAAGACATAATATTACAAAGGCTTTAGCATTCTTTAGAATATCTACATGAATTTTGACAACACTAAATAGTAATTCATTTTTGTCTTTCTCTTTTCTTGCAATTTCGATAACTCTGTCCCCCGGTTAGATTCATTGATTCTTAATGCATCTTTTTCCTCCTCTGGTTATAATTTAGAAAATGGGTTCAAAGAAGGCTTTACTGTTTTTTTTATTTCAGTTTTGGCATGATTCACGATGGAGAAGGCAACCCTTGCAGGAAGGCTGAAGGCAATATCATGTCTCCCACACTGACAGGAAACAATGGGGTGTTTTCGTGGTCTTCATGTAGCCGGCAATATCTCAAGAAATTCCTTAGGTAACAGAGGGCAAAGCAAAGGGTATTCCCAGGTTTGGAGTGGTGACAGTGAATGATGTTCAACAGCTGCGAAAACCAATTCTCAGTGGATTGATGATGATGATGATATTGTCATTACTATTGTTATTGAAAAAAATACATTGAAGGTTTAATACTGTGCCAAATGCTCTCCACATATTGGTCCACACAGCAATCCTATTCTTGTGCTCATTCTAGAGTTGAGGAAATAGAGTCTTAGGGAGGTTGATGGTGTTGTTTAAGGTCCTACAGCTGGTAAGTTGTAGACATAAGACTCGCACTTGGGTCTGTTATGACTCCAGGATCTGTGCTTGTAACTCTCTCTCCTCTATGACCTCCACAAGTTGCTAGACATGTTGTCTTTTTACTGTGACTAATTGTTTTAATCTACTCAATCAATTTGGTCTTAAGAATATTAAAAATGCTAAAATGCTGTGCATGTTTTATAAAAAAATCATTGTCTTGATTGGCTATTTGGTTTGAAATGGCCACGAGCTAGCTCTTTGTCCAAAGACATCCGAAGGGGATGATAGATGTGTAAAATCCGTTTGATAACTCAGAACTCCTAGACTGCATCAGTAAAATATGAGTCAGGAAGGTAAGACTGTTTGATTCATCTTAAATGATAAACCCAAAGTTGAAACTCTTTGAAGTGTCCTTTGATTTTATTTAGCTATAATATATATTTGACCATTTGACCATTGTAACAGTGCTAAAGTTGTTATATACACTTCTGTATTGCTTAACAATGGGGATACATTCTGAGAAATGCATCATCAGGTGATTTCGTTATTATGCAAACACAATAGAGTGTACTTACACAAACCTAGATGGTATAGCCCACTACACACCTAGGCTCTATGGCACTAATCTTACGGGACCACCATCTTACATGTGATCCATCATAACCAAAATGTTGTTATATGGCTAATGACTGTATATATATTTTATTAATCTATCTTGACTCACAAGAACACTCAGGCTCTGATCTCATCTTCCTTTGACTAAATGTTAGGGAAACTAACAAAATTTCTTTGGGAATTGATATTATTGATACTTTTTTCTTAACCTGTACTACTGCATTTTATTTGCAAATGTTTACAAAATTAGCAATACACACAGGGAAAACTGCTTAAATATGATGTCTAACCAAAAGATCTCGTACAGGATAGTAAAAAATTGACAAATCTTTTGCTAATGATAAGCTTTGTCACACAGAAGATTTTCGTAGGAGTTTCAAATTTGCAATTTGGGGCCTGAAATGATCTTTTCTAGCTCATGTGAGAATAGAATTAATAAACATTATAAATCAAGGTCACCAATGTAGATTGAATTTCTATCATTAATATTATATAGGTAAGTGCTTTGGGATGGTAATAATAACAACAACAGCTAACTTTGAATGCTTACTATGCTGTGTTAAGTGTGTTACATTTTCTTGTCGATCTGTTAACACTCCTGTGGAAGTCATTGTTGGTAATGAGATGTATAAGAGTTGGTCTTGGTGGCACGGTTGACTAGGACCACCATCTGTCTGGTGGTGGTCCTTAAGTTCGTAACTACTAGTGGTGATCCATTTAACTACCATGATATTTTACCTCTCCTTGATATCATAGTTTAATTATTTAAGTAAATGGAGATAATTTAAGTAAATGGTGCTTTCTAAGATTATCCATCATTAAGACTGATTTTTTTTTCCTCAACTCATCCCAGTTGAACATACCTCAGAGAAATTGTTCTGCTTTATGCCCCAATATACCCTTCCTCCTGATTTCTTTCAAAAACTTTTATTCTTTTTTTTGCTTGTAAGGATTATCTGAGGTAAAGTATGTCTTTGACCACTGCTCCATTATCTGTAAAAATACAGCATGATTTTCACCTCCATGAAGACAGGTGCTGTCTCTTTCTAGTTTATTTTTAACCTTTAGTGCTTAGCCTAATGCTGATCACACCCAATATTGAGTAAACACTCAATAAAAATTTGTTGAATATTATTGAACAAGACTGTTGGAGAGAGTTTTCAAGTATGTCTGTAGATTGACATTACTCATCTCCTCATTGGCCAAGCCAATTCACTTGGATGGCGATGACTTCCAGAACCATATAAAAACCTTCCTGGCTGTGTCAATTCCATTTTCTTAGCATAGAACTCACTTTTTGGAGTAAATATACATTTTAACTTTGAGCATATACCCGTTTCTTTAGCCGTGTTATGTTTTTCTCTGCATGAATGCATTCAGAGGTGTATGGTTTGAAGTGGAAAGATCATAGATAAACAGAGTCATTAATAATGATGTGTTGTCACTGCAGTACACCTCAGGCTGGGTGTCTGGTGGATGAGCCCAAGCAAACAGGGCAGTATAAATATCCGGACAAACTACCAGGACAGATTTATGATGCTGACACACAGTGCAAGTGGCAATTTGGAGCAAAAGCCAAGTTATGCAGCCTCGGTTTTGCGAAGGTATGTTTGCTTGTGATTACAAACTTACATTAAGATCCTGCAATGCATCTGTGTACCTAACAGAAGTGTAAACATTTGGTTTGCTAAGGCCAAGGGTTAGAGTCTGGGTTATCTCTAAAATGTCAGTTGTTTGGCATGATAATTAAGTGGCAATTTTACTGTCAATGAATTATCCAGGCTTATCCCCCGTAGACCATGTCTGGTTTAAATACCATCTGACTGCATCCTTGGAAGAAAATTCTTCCCCTGTAGATGAAGATTTTATCACAAGTAATAAATCTGGGTACAATGGCTTTTACCTACTTCTCATCACTCTTTTTGTTATTGTTGTGTTCATATTCCTTTTTAGTGTGATACATTGAAAATCATCACCACCTCGAAAGACATGAAAACTATTGTTGGCAGGCAACTCTTTTTTTTAATATGTAAAAGTTCAAGGTGTATCTTCAGTAATCTTAATGAGATGTTTGGTGAAGTCTTTCATTCAATATTGTGAGAAAGATTGATGGGAAAAAGGCAAAAGTCAGGATGTAGAGATGGGAGAAACATTGTTCCAGTTGGTCAAGAACTACATCACTGACAGTCTCAACATCGCTAAAAAGTAGAACCATTTTTAAGTTGGTCTATTCCTTGTATCCAAAGAGAAACATGGAAATCCTTGGTGTCTGGACACAGGGAAATTATGGAATTTTATAGCTCCTTTTCCCTCCTCTATTCCCCCTCGTTCTCTTTCTTCTTCTTTTCTTCTCCCTCTTCCTCTTCCTCCACCACCACCGTTATTCCCATTACCGCCATCATCATCAACAGCCCCACCTCCACCATTACCAGCACCATACCTCTAACCCCACCACAATCACCACTTCTATCACCCTCCGCCACCATCACCTTCAGCAGTTGCTAAGTGAGCCTCTGCTCCACATAAGTCTTCTTAGAGACTTATTTTACTTTTCTCAATCCTCACAAAAACCTTTTGAAGGGAGAATTCACCACCTCTTACCTGGAGCTGAGAGAATGTATTCAATTTGCCCAAAGCCACAAAAGTTTTAACTGGTGGGACCTAAGCAAAACACATTACCCACACTGATGTTAAGCTTCCTTCTCTCCATTAGTTAATACCAGTGTTTCGTAAGCTTCAGTCATTAACATTAACATTCAGTCATGAGCAATTACCTTTGCCAGTAGTGCTGTATCTCTGTCTTATTATTCAGTTGTTGCTTTCTATAAATCAACTCACTTAAAAATATATAAGCCCAGCCCTAAGAAATAATAACCATTAAATCACAGGTTTGATATGGGATTACATATTTTTCTAATGCAATTTAAATGTATAACTATTAGAAAAGTTTACACACAGACCATCCATGATTTTTTTGGTGTATCCTCCAGGCTACGTGGACCTTACTTTGGCAAATGCTGGTGTATTATATGTATAAATTAGTAAATTTACAACTGTTTCTAATTGCCTATTAAGTTGATACATTTGGCAGAAGTAAGCAGCCATTCACTTTATTGAAAAAGTTTGTCTGCTAACTTTGTCTCCTGTTCACTTTGTTCTTTAGGATTCACTGGCTTACTCACTCATTAATCAAATATTTACTAAGCGCTTACTATGCAGCAAATGCATAATTGATAATGTTTAATTTTTCTTTAGAAATATAAAGGAAGTTTCTAAAATTACTGTCATTCCTACAGGATCATACATTCAACAAACATTTGCAGGGTGCCTGTTCTGTGTCAGGCAGTGTGCAGGGCTTAAACAACCATTCTTAAATTATAGATCTTTTTCTGGAACCACACCAAATTTTTGAAAGATGGCATCTCAGTGTGATGGTCTTTCCTGGGAAGGGAAGGAGAGGGAAATGGAAATTCCAGACTAGAAGATTGAATAAAATGAGGAAAGGGACAGAGATGGGAATGCCTGGAGGGGTAGAGAGAATTGCTTAAGAGAGATTGTTCAAGATGATGATGAGGTAAGATAGAGAAGGTAGAGTTGGTTGGTGGATCCTGAATGTGGAATATTATTTTTTCCCTCCTAGATCTGCTTATACCTTAAACCATAGCTACACTTCTGAGGATCATAAATAGTTCCCTGCCAGACTCCCCCGACCCCCCGCCGAAGTAGGAGGGTTTTCTGCAACAACAAAATCTCCTATTCGTCCCGTTGGTCTGAACCATTTAGACCAACTCCACCAACATAGGAAAAGGAGGAAGTTTGTTTTCAGGGTCTGTTTTGTCCTATCATTACTTTCCCTTTCTAACCTTTTCTCCTCAGTCTGCCTGGTTTTCTCTTTGCCTCTTAGAAAGGCAGTTTTGCTTAGTGGTTAGAAGCACAAAAATAATAATGATGATAATTCTCAAAGTGTCCTCTTGAACCAGCAGGTGCAGTATATCAGTAGCACCTGGAACCAGTTAGAAATGCAGATGCTTGGGTCAGATCCCAGACCTAGGGAGTAGGAAGCTTTGGGGGTAGGACTTGGCAAGTGTGGTTGAACAGGGCCTCCAAGGGATTCTGATGAATGCTCCAGGTTGAGAACTACTGAATTAGACAATCTTACATTTTAAACACACACACACATACACATACACATCTCTGGCTTTTGGAGTTAACTAGAACTGGGTTTAAAACCTTTTTCCATGACTTCCTAGAACCTTGGGCAAATGACTTAACCTCTCTCAGCTTTTGTATCTACATCTGAAGGTGAGACTAAGAATAGTTCTTCCCTGGCAATTGTGAGGATTTATCTCTTGGTACAGTTGCGCTGTTTAATAAATAATAAGGGTTTCCTTCTTGCTCTCCTCCTTATACCTTCACAGTAGTGTCACCATTACACCTGGCTGTTCCCTCACAGTGGCCTCCTTGTCCAAGGGCCTGGGGCTGGCTATTTTTCATCACTTATCCTGTCTTCCCTCCCATCCCAACCTCAAGGGTTCTGTGTCTTCAGCATGTCAAACTTCATCTCTGTTCCCTTTCAAAGTGTTCAAGAAAATGAGTTGTTCATCGGGATAACCCACATTATTTAGACAGACCTAGAGGAGGGTTACCTCCATAGCAATTGAGGAGAACATGCATTTGATTATTATGCCCTTGTTAATTGCTCTCTGACTCTGAGTGAATCAATGCTGTTTGCCAGAATGCTCCAAGCACTGTAAGAAACTCTGATCAATGCTTCCAATGCTCGTTATTTTACGAGTTAGGAACGAGCAACCTGTCCTCTGTGCCTCAGTAGCCAGCAGTTACTATCATACAGCAGAAGCTTGGTGAATGTTCATTTATAGATGCACCAAGAGGGTTTGAGGCAGAATAGGAACTATGGGGAAGGTATTTGAATTCTAATGAATATTTTCAGGCCCATCACCTCAGAGAGCATTTTCTTTGAAGGAAAAGTCATGCGAAATATAGCAGGATGGACATGTACTTCTTCTTTTAAGATTTGACGTTGTAATGAGTGAAGGAGGTGAAAAGGTACAAGCTTCCAGTTATGAAATAATAAGTCATGGTGATGTAACGTAGAGCTTCGTGCCTATAGTTAGTGATACTGTGTCGCATATTTGAAAGTTGCTGAGAGAGCAGATCTTTTAAAAGTGCTCATCACAAGAAAAAAAAGTTGTAACTATCTATGGTGACAGATGTTAACTAGACTTATTGTGATGATCATTTTGCAATATATACAAACATCAAATCAGTATGTTGTACCCTTGAAACTAATATAATATTATACGTCAATTATACCTCAGTAAAAAGTTCTTCAGAAAAAGAATTTGATATTAGGATAAAAGAACGGAGATAAAGAGAAACTTCACAGTATCTAAATCACACCTACTTTGTTAACTACTAAATTTATTACATCATGTTCCAACTTCCATTATCTTTCCCCATGGACTTATGTTCCGAGTATATTGATGTCCTTGAATGTTTTTCAAACATTTTCTGCTTTCATATCTACAAGCCTTTGTATATATGCCTCCCATCCGAGAATGTTGCATGCCCATCCATGTGACAAATATCTACTCATTTCTTAGTGTTGTTGAAGACTCAGCTCTAAGTATTACCTCCTTTTTTCCCCAAGAAGATTTAAACATTACTTTCTCTTCGCTCCCTCTCCACCCGATATGACACCATCATAAACTTGTGATACTATATTATAACTGTCTATCTATGTCTCTTGCCTCAGCAGATGGGGAATATCTGCAATGCCTGGCCTGTACCTGACATATTAGCAGATACTCAGTAATTATTTATTGGATTTACAAGGATAACCCAAGCTAACAGGTCTTTTTTTTTTTTTTTTAGCACTTCCAGTGTCCAAAAGTGGAGGATTTTGCCTCTGTCCCCTTATCCCTCCACAAAGAAGCAGGAGAGACTTATCTGGGAGAAAGAGAGGAGTCAAAGATCACTCTAAGATTTTTGGCTTGAGTGACTACAAGTATTGAGGTTATAAAGTTATAGAGTGAGCCAAAGAAGGCTGAACATGGAACAGGCTTTGGGGGACAGATGGGGAATTTTGTTTTAGGTTTGTTAAGTTTGAGGTGCTTTATGAAATTTGATTTGCAAAGACCATTACCATTTTTAGCACATCGGGTTTCCCTTGAAGGGGCATCCGTCCTTTAGAATACAGCTGAAGAACATGGTCAACGAGTGACAGGACAGAATGATGCACAGCACTGAGACTTTTCCTTAAAAATCACATCCAGACAACAGGAGACCTTGGAGTCTCTGTGGTTCTTTCTTTTTCCCTTAAATTATGACTTAAGTCCAGGGAATTATAGATAAGGAAAAGTTAGTTGAATACGCTGGAAAAAAAAGAGGGAAGAACAAGCAAAAAAGTGCAAACTCCCATTTCTGTTTACTTTGAAAGGGAGCTTTCTCAGAGGGCCCTCATGGTCACCAAAGCACGTAGTTGGCTGTAATTACGTTTGACTTCTGTGCTTTGCCACAAAAGAAATAACATGTTCGTACAGCCTGTCTGATTTCACTCTGGAATCCCTGTGTTTTTGTGTTTGGCTTTATTTTCCTGGTCTTCTCCAGCTGCCCCTTTTCCTTAGCCCCGTGGCTTGGCATTGGCTGTGGAATCTGGGCCTCTCTTGCTTTGGTCTGCCCTAGTGTCATTTCGATGGCCACCATATAGGCTATGAGTGTGAGTTATGGCTTTCCCCTGGCTGTAAGAAGGAAAACACTTTAATTCTGAAAGCCTTTCTAACTGTGGCTGATAGTTTCAGTGGTTACCTCTCATTCCTCCATTTTGATGTAGACTTTCCTTATCCCACATAACTTGTTCCCCCCATGCAGGGTGACACAATATAGGGGCACACAGAGATAATGAACTGGAATGATTTTGTTGGAAGGCTGCCTTATGCTTTCTACTACTGTCGATGGCAGGTCCATTTCCATGGGAAACATTTACACATTGTGTCTTATCAGCTGTTTTGAGATTTGGAAATGGTACGTGTGGGGCATGTCTGGGGACCCTCCTGGTAATGATGTTTCCACGCAGTGTCCTGAATATCCTTCCATTCTTTTTGGAGGGGAAAGGATTTTATGGTTGACAAGACCAGACTCACTGAACATATCACTGGTTTCCCTATGTTTTCTTTTCTCAGTCCTGTGGAAAATGATTTTGTGAAATATTTCTAAGCATGTTCTTGCCATATTTTCTAACCGTGAAATCCACATTAACTGGAAGGCTTGAGGAATTGGGCGCCTGGGTAATTGAATTTTCAGGGTGACCACAAAAATCATTTTTGTTTCCTCCCTGGTTGTTAATATTTTCCCCAAAATGTATGTGTTCACATTTCTACCTTGTAAACAGAATGTGGCAAACAAAGTGGAATCACTTTGACATTTCATGGTTTTGACATTCCGTTAGTGATGCCATTCTGAATAGCAACTTCAACTGTTTGAGCTGCAAGGAAGCTGGTTCAGTCCCCTTACTTTATAATAGGCCACTGCTACACTCCTATTTAAAATGGGAGAAGTCGAGAGCTTTGTAACATCTGTGAATGGCAAATCGATGTCCAGAGCAGGGATCAAGGACCTGGCTCTGGAATCAGGCCAGTTAGCATCCCAACCTTGCCACTTACCAGCTGTCTGACTTTACAGCTTTGAAAGGGTCAGTAGCTTGCTCATTTTCCTCATCTAATGAGTTTATATGAGGAATTGGTTTAGTATCCACCACTAAATGGTGTTGTAAGAGTATTAGTTTCTTGCCTTCTCCAGCTTCTAGAAGACTTTTGCATCCCTTGGCTCATGGTCCCTTCCTCCATCTTCAAAGCCAGAAACATCTCTCTTAGTGCTCCTCCCACTGTCATTTCTCTGGTTCTCTTCTGTCTTCCCTGTTTAAGGACCCTTGTGATTACCTTGGGACCATCTAGGAAATTTTAGTCTCCACATCTCAAGGTCAAGTGATTAGTACCCTTAATCCCATGTGCAACTTTAATTCTCCTTTGCTATGTAACCTCACGTACTCTCAAGTTCCAGGGGTTAGGACGTGGTGACATCCTTGGGAGCCATTATTCTGCCTAATACAGTCTAGCATGAAAGTTAAAGTATTTCATAGGTCTAGTGTAAGAATTAAATTGTGTAAATGCTTGGAAATTACTGTAAAGATGAAGAAGGTGATGATGGTCATTTACATCATTTATCCTTGAGAACAGCCATTTAGAGGAAAGGGCTAATTTTATCCCTATTTTACAGGTGAGGAAACTACAGCTCAAAAGGCTTCTATAACATGTCAGGCAACAGGTCTATGACGTGCCTCTAGCAGGGCATGCAGCCCGGAATTCCAGGACAAGAATTTGAATGAGACTTGTTTTTATCCCAGTCTTGGCCTATTCTGCTTCACTGGTGGTTATTATTATAAACCGGGTCTCTTAGTTTCAAGCCAAGTGTTCTCTAAATTAACTGTTGTGATCTCCAGTCATTACTAAACACGGACAAATAGAGCAAATATAGAGTTGTGTAGAAACCTCCTGCTTACACGTTTGCTGCAACATATTCCCAGTTACCTTGTTATTACCAGCTTCACTAGCCTCTACTTTCTGGATACTTTGCCTCATTTTGGCCATCTGAAAATACAATATTGTGTACAAAAGCTTTGAATATTTTTTGTTTTTATTGCATCATCACCCTTATGAGCTCCTTCTTTCCTTTCAGGACATTTGCAAATCACTTTGGTGCCACCGAGTGGGCCACAGATGTGAGACCAAGTTTATGCCTGCGGCGGAAGGGACCGTTTGTGGCTTGAGTATGGTAAACAGCATACTTGTTAGTTTTTAGTTCTAGAAACTTGATAAAGCGTAGAACCCAAACTATTTGTATGATGACCTTAGAATGGAATGCCTTGGCTGCATATATTTTCTGACTTCTCTTTCAATTAGCCAGCATTATTTAGCAGTTCCTATAAAACTCAATGCTAATTATCACCCAGGTGGCTAAATTGTTCAAGAAGATTTTTTTTTTCTTTTTGCCTTTGTTTTCCTTTTTTAGATGATTTCTATTTCAATGAGCTGATAGGTTTCATTGTATATTGTTTGCCTTTTCATCTTGACTCAGTCTGGAAAAGCCTCATGGAGCAGGTGTCCCCTTTAGTAGCAAAGAAAAGACTGTGCCTCCCTACCAAGAACTCCACTCACCTCACAGGATCCATCACTGGGCTTCTGGAATGCCCAATAGAGTCCTATCACTTGCAGTGACTTTCCTGTTAAAGAGTAAGCCGCATTTCCATCTAGATTGTATTGGAAAGTCTTTTTTGTGGCAAGTATCCTGAACCCTAAGAACCATTATGGAAGATTATGGGTGATTTCTATGTTTTGAATTAAGAACTCTCATATATGAGTTTCTATTTTTCTTCTCCTTTCCCAATAAGATTCTGGAGGTAAAGGTGCAAGAGAGATGCCAGTAAGTGAGCTAGATTTAGGGAGATCCTTTGAAAGACCATGATAGAGGAGCTCTGGATGATGAGAAAGCATGAGATGTTACAGGCTTTTTGATCTCTGCTGTTGGCTTTCTCAAGGCAGCACAAGCCTGTATAGAAGCATCAGTCACTTAAAGTGAATTCAATTCCATGATAATTTATTGACAACTAGATATCGGGGACAGGAGGCTCTGAGGCTATAGAGATGAATAAAACTCAGTTTTCTGTCATCAAGAATTTACAGTCCAGTGGGGAAACCTGTGCAGAAGCCAAAAGCTTTCTTTTTAAACACATCTTCTTTAAGCACCTAGTTACTATCAAGACCCAAACGAATGAGAAAGGAATCTTGCTTGGGATTCAGTATGCACTTAGTGTAAACTACGATGAGAGGGTTCACCAAGACGGATGTTGGAATTCGATTGAAGTTCTTCAGGTGGATGAGAGGAGAGACTTTCAGGGAGAGACCAACAATAAAGGCAAAGATACAGACACACAAAAATAAATGAGTGTTCAGAAAATACTTTCTGATATTTAAGTCATTTATTTAACATCTCTTAAAAGATTTGCAATTTTTGGCTTTTAAAGAAAGTGAACAGTTTGAAAATTAAGGTATTATGTGCAATCTTTAATCAGATTTACTGGTCTTAAGAAATCCCAGTAAGGATTCTCATTAAAAATGTGCATAGGAGTGTTTTAGCTGCGATGATACAAAACAATGAATCAATTGAATAATTGAAAATATAAGTACTGCTCAAGTCATTTTTAAAGCATCAAGATTTATAACTTGAGGGTTAATGGGTATTTTTTTTCATTAAGAAAACATTAAACATAATGTACAAGAAAATATTGGTATAATAAATGAAGAAAATAAGTGATAAATGGCATAAGTCTAAGGTTTATTACAGAAATACACCAGGGATCTAATTCCATGGGGATGAAAATGTCCCTGGATTAGACTTCAGTTAATAAAACATGAAACAAATCAAACCAGAAGCTAGAAAACAGATGTCTTGATACCACCCCCTACCCACCTCATTATTTTAAAGACCAGACTCTAGTTATGTATCCTGGGGAAAAGCCCTCAGCTGTGAGGTCACCTCCAGTAGAAAGCATTCTGAGAAGTTCCATCCATCATCACTCCAGGATAATTATTGCTGCATTCATATATATGGTTCTCTGAGTCTTTCTTCACGATGGGGTGTAATTGGCTATTTATTAGACCAAAAGCTCCCTGAGGCCAGGGCCATGACTTACTCATGTTTCATCTTGCGTGTCTTGCAGAGTAATAGTGCTCCATGGTTTGTTGGTTTGTTTCTTCATGACTGAAACCCAACTTAATCCTTCCCCATCCTTCTCCAGTCCCTGGTCCTTCAGTGATATTTATACCACGAATGTTCAGTAAACATGTGCAGATGTGAAAGCTGCGTACTTTTATCTAGATTATGTGTGCAAGGCAAGAAAGGTTTATGTGTGTTAGCATAAAAGATGTTTGCCCAAGTCATGGCCACTTGATGTGAAATTATATATGGATAGTAATATATATGGATAGACTGATAAAATTATATATGTATATAGTTTATATTTTACATGTATAATTTTATATTTACATGCAGGTTGTACATGTATGTGCGTATATTCCTATATAGTCCTGATTTCTATACTGATTAAAAAAGCCCAGTAGATAATCTGTCAGCCCCTAATCCAATACTAGGATGAATACTGAAATAAAAGAAAAGTCGTATTAATTGAAGGATTGGAAAAGATCTAAAAATGATATTTCTAAAGAAAGAAATTAGATTAGAGTTAAGATACATTAGTGGGCAATTTGCCTCTGAGGTGAGAAGTCTATGCGTCCTTCAGCTACTGAGTTTAAATCCAGTCTCAGCTGGCTGTGTAGCCACTTGGGTAGCTTGTGTGACTCTGAGCAAGTTCGTTTGTATTTCTTTGGTCAATTTCTCTCATCCAGAAAGTAGTTATTGACTCCTGAAGGCTTGGCAAGGATTATATTAGATAGTGCACGTGAAGTCCTCGCCCCTGCCCCCGCCCGTCCCATTTGGGGCACATAGAAGCAGCTTAATAACTGTACCTGCTTCGCTGTTGTTTGTTGTTGTTATTTCGTCTCAGCCACTGAGCTCGGTGCTCAGTCCAGGAGAATCCGCGGGATTCTTGGTAGGGAAGATTCAGATTCGTGCTTGTGGTAGACAAAATCCTCAAATGACCGATTGCTTTCCCCCGAAAGTTCTCAACAATGTTATATGATTTCGTGCAAACTCTGAAATGGCAATTAATCCAGGGAAAAGAGAAATGAAAAACTGAAGAATTAATCAGCACATGGCAAAAATTTGCAGAAAGGAAGCAATATCTTGACCTCAACAAAGCGCACTGGCAACCAGGCCTCACAATAAACAGCCACAAAGCCAAATGGATCCCCGGGGGACGAGTGAAGATTTGAAAGTCAAACAACCTCCCCATAATTCTGTAACTGAACCCCCCTACTCCTCCTCGGCAGAACCTGGCACCGTCCAAACCCCAGCCCTTTGGATCTAATTGCAGAGGCTTTTAGGAAAGTGTGTAGTTACGCTAAGTCATGCAGAACTTGCTCATAACAAAAGCACCGCAGGAGAAAAACCACTACAGAGGCTAATGCAGGCCCCAAGGTCAGAGATGACCAGCAAAGCCTGGAATGTATGACAAAGAGAGCGAAAATGGAGAGGTTAGCACAGAAAACAACTCTCACCCTGGCTTGAGCGGATCATTGGCACATGGGAGACCCAGAGCTAATTCAGAGAAAACACTCAGAGACCTCAAAGTCATCAGAGGGGCTGAAGTAGTAGGGACCTTTCATCCAGACGAAAGGTCAAAGGGTGATATCTAAAAGCACAATTTGCATAGACGGAAACCTATTTGGTTTCATAAGAACTGCTCTGTGTTCGGTGTTAATATCTTAAAAACTGGTTCTGCTTGAGTGAATGATCCAAACGGTCCTCTGAACAGCATTGTTTCTAAATGTCAGGGGAGGCTCCCTTGTCACTTTGTCTGGACTAACTTCCTTGGCTGTTGGGTGGAATCTTCTCTGAACATTTCACGTCGACTGCTCACAAAGCATATAATACTCCTTCTGTTGGTGACAGATGCCCCTTCCCTCTAGATGTCAGCCTTTCAAAATGCATGCAGTAAACGTGGAGTCAGTGGGTGTTTATAAAGTGCAGCCAGTGAAGGAATTCCATCAAGGTGTCCTGCGTTCTCCCGTTTGCCAGCAGACTCGTTTTTCCTGTTCCCGTGCAGGTGTTCGCATCCCTTTGCCCTTTCCCAGGTGGTCTCTCACAGGAAACATGTCATGCATTCTTTTTGCAGTGGTGTCGGCAAGGCCAGTGTGTAAAGTTTGGGGAGCATGGGCCCCGGCCCATCCACGGCCAGTGGTCTGCCTGGTCGAAGTGGTCAGAGTGTTCCCGAACTTGTGGTGGAGGAGTCAAGTATCAAGAGAGACACTGCAATAACCCCAAGTAAGGCTCTGACAGAAAGTCAGTATGTGTAAGGCATTAACCTTCAGCCCCCTAATGTACTGTTTTTGCTTTGTTTTGCTTAGACACTGTTCTTAAGTGTCCCTTTCTTCCCTCCAGTTAATAGCAGCCAACTAGAATTTTACTGTTTGCATGTGAAGGTTATATGCGCTGGTGGGGGGAGGTATGGTGGCCAGAAACTGGAAAACAGCAAAGGAGTTATTCTGTGGGTGAATATGATGATCAAGGACTCCAGGAATCGTCTGAGCTACTTTCTGAATCTAAATGAGGGCAACACAGTCACACAACCAAATGCTTGTGATATTCCAGAACAGAGAAGCTTGGCTGGTAGAATGTGTGTGTCTCTAACTGATGACCTGGAGAAAGGAGGCTGATTTTTGCCTTGCAGGAATGCACATCCACACATGTCGACAGATCTGCCTGCCTTTTCAAGAGAAACCAAAATCCCAAACGATGTTTTGTGTGAAATTTCCCAATTTTTAAAATATTGACAACAAATTCAGTTTTCTTTAAAAAAATAAAACATTGTGAGCACTAATCAGTGCATCTACAGATTGAAATTGGCCCGTGGTCACCTGTGGGCACCCTCTGGTCTAGTTGTACCAGATTCTGAACTGTGGTCTGTGCTCTGTGAAAATGAAGGTGGTTTTGTGTTACTTTTATGTGCTCTAATCAGATACATGAAGCACATGGGAGATGTATATTTCCTGACAGGCATGGTGATGTAGAAAGAGGCCAGCTTTTAGAGATAGAAAGATAGGACTCCAAATCTTTGGTCTGCCACTTATTAACTGTGTGGCTTTGGGAAGGTCACTTGAACTTTGAGCTTGGGTTTATGTATAGAAGGGAGATAGGAATACCAGCCTCTGAAGGTCTGGGGAGGATTAGAAATTGCATCTGTGGAATGTCTGACACACTGAGGAGCATCCAATGGACATCCAGCAAAAGGTGCCTGGGTCCATGTGGTTTTCATCATCTTTATCCTAAACTCACCAGGAACACTGGGTAACAGAGGGCCAGCCCTCAGAAGCAGTGGGGGGAACCCGTACTGATGCAACTGAACTTTGGCGAATGTGATGGAGTGAGAAGAATGTGATGGGACCTTGGAAAATAGTGATCTAATTCTACAACACGATTTGAGTGGTGCATAGCATGGAGGTTAAGAACACAGACTCTTAATCCCCATAACCTGGGTTTGCCTCCTGGCCTGCCACTTCCTAGCTAGCCATGGACAACTTACTCTCCTGGCTCTAGATTCCTCATTTGCAAAAAATGGGATCATGACAGTACCTCCATCAACTGAGCTAATATTTGTAAAGTGCTTTAAAAAAGTGCCTGGTATATTATAAGCATTGCACAAATGTCTGGTAGATTGAGAACTAAAATAAATAATGAAACGAGCAAAAGGAAAAGAGACAAATTGTCCTTCATCTGAGTCAGCAGTCTGAGCTGGATCAAAAGGCCAATTTGTTCCAAAAGAAATGGGGGGGGTTGGGAGATACTCTGTGGTTTCTTAGGCACTCTTTGGGATATCTCAGGCTAATCTAGGATTTCTCAACTTCGACACTGTTGACATTTTTAGGCTGGAAAATTTTTTGTGGTGGGGGTTTGTCTTGTACATGGCAGGATGTTTAGGAGCATCCCAGGCCTCTACCCACTAGACGCCAGTAGAATGGCTCTCCCTCCCCACCAGCCTCCAAGCTGTGACAACCAACAATGTCTCCAGACGTTGCCAAGTGTCCTGTAGCGGGCAGAGTCATCCCCAGGTGACTCTCTGCTCTAATCAGACTCAGGAACTGGGTATAATGAGAGGGAGGCCGGTGATGCATTTACAGTTTATACCAGCTTAATAAAATCACCCTCCTCTCCTTTGAATGTAGCCTGTGTCTTGGACAGAATTGTTAAAATCATTGCTTTTCGTTTTTGCAGCATATTTCATGGATCTGGTTTTCATACATCACAACATTTTACAATCTCAGTATTTTCCCAGGAAAGAAAGAGATTACCTAATTTAATAGCTCTGCTGGTAAAGTGCATGAATGATGCCCCTGAGATTTAAATTAAAACCTCTCTCATATCTGTGAGATGGAGAACTCTCATTATAATAGGGCATTGTTCATGGAAATAGCATATTGTAATTTTAGAGATGCCTCATAAAAGGCTTAATCACTAAAGTAGTTCCACTTGGTGCAGTTTTATCATTTCAAACAAGATTAAGGCTAATCAGGATACGGTTTGCTTTAATTATGCGTGAAGTCACAAATAAATAAATGATGTGCTATCCCAAGACAGCTGAATGAGTTGTTTTCTGTTCTTAGTTCGCTTTGTTGCAGTAAAGCCATTTTTTCTCCCTGTTTCAAGTTACTGATTTCTTTCTTGCTTCAGTTTGAACATTTGGTCTGTTTGCATCACGCAGCCTAACTGTTTTCATTTTCTCACGTGAGAAGCAGTGTGAGCTTTCTATTTCACATAATGATGGTTTTCCCAGAACGTATTTTGTTTCCTAAAAAATGAATTATTCCTGGATGATTCGTGGATTTATCAAACTTGTCAGCTTCAAAAGAGTTTAAAGGTTATCTGGTTCTGGAATGGCCAATACCAGGCACACATGGCCCATCTTCTTTTTCCCGTGTCCGTGGCAGACATTGTTATTGATCAAAGCCTATTTTCTCCTGAGCCTTTTATGGCTCAGGAAAGTTCTCCAAACACTTCTCCAGGCATTTGCTCCAAATCAGGTTAGAACAGATCCATGAGTTGCAACCTGTAGTCTAATCCAGTTATTTGACAAGTAGATGACCAGGAGAGACAGGGCAGCAACCCATGCCCAGCTCACTATGCTGGTAACGGTAGAGTCAGACCGAGATCCCGTAATCTTAATCCTTTGACCTTTTTTTCCGGTTGCCTGGTGATTCAATTACACTGTAAGAGAACCTAGGGAAATTCCTAGAAACACGGTTCAAGAAAATTAATAGCAAAAATTAAAATAGTGAAATTAAAATAGCAAAAATTAAACACGCTAAGGCATTCTAGAACTTTCCTAAAATGTGAGTGTATTTGAGAAAGAATAATATACCACTAGAGTCATAGCTCTAGAAAAAAAATTGAATCAAATCTCTGGCCCGTTTTTCACTCAGTAATTTCTAGGCTCAGTTGATTATCAGAATCACCCAGTGTGCTTTAAGAAACACTGATTTCTGGATCCTCCCCATCATATATTCCTATTGAAAAAGTCTGTGGAGGGGCCCAGGAGTCTGCCTATCTACCTACCTATCTATTTTTTTTAACAGGGCTCCCCAGGTGATTCTGCTGATCTGCTAGCCAGCCAATATTATAACCATTTGTAGTCAGGACTTGATAAATTAGGCAGAGGCAAATATGAGTATACTTTGTAGTAGTCTAATATAAGGACAAAATCATGTACCAAGACACTTGTTTTCTGACTGTTTATATTTTTGTTTTTAATCTTATCATATTTTGTTTTTAATCTTATCATATCATGTCATGGTAGAATTTTCTACCTAACACTCGTGTTTAAATCCTAACTCTCATGTTTAAAGCTGCAGAAAAGTGTCCCTGTGTTTAGGGATTTGATGCAAAAGTCCAAATTCTTGCCAGTCATTAAAAGTAGAAAGTATTTAAAAGTAGTTATAATTTATTTGTGCCACACTGCCCTCAACTCTGCCCTAAGTTCTTTACAAACATTATCTCAGTTAATTGTCATGATTGCCACCACTTCAGATCAGGAGGTTAAATAAAATTGCCTAGAGATAGGCTGAGAAGAGGCAGGGAGTGTTTCGGTGCAGATCTGCCTTATTATAAAAGGCTAGCTCCCTAACCATTGCACGTTCCTCTCTTCCTCTTCCATGCTCGGCTCCCATTGCCTAGCTCAGTTAAATGCAGGCAGAGTGGCATAGGAACAGCGTCCTGCAGAGTCCAAAGGTACGGGTTTAGCTCTGCTCCCGTTCTAGCGGGGTCACCTTCATTCAGCAAGTTTTGTGAGCTCGCTTCATCTATAAATGAGGGGATGGCTTACACAAGTTTTAAGGTCTTTCCCTTGTTACAGTTTCTGAGTTGAAAAGGTACCACATGTGGTCCTCTTTCACTTTATTGAACTTGAGTAGTCTAAACTAAGGTGACTTGTAAAATCTCAGACAGAAGGTCCTCCTAAGAAAGTTTTAAATATGCTTGGAAAGATGACCAGGAATTGTAAGGCTATCGTATGGCCCTTTAAGGTTTTTCTAAATGCTTTTTAGATAATGATTTAAGAAGTCTGCAGGGACTTGCTCTAGCACGGTGACTGCTGGATGTTTTAGTTGCTCCAGAATGTTTTGAAATAGCAAAAAAATTCTCCTTCTGGCAGTGTGACACTTCCCGTTTCTGTTGAATCCATTTTAGCACTCAGTTCTAGGAGGATTTGGTCAAATATGCTGAAGCAAATCCAGGGCTGTTTTATGGCATTCTTGTGCTTCCTAAAGAGACAAGGAATTTTAATCACACAAATTTATTAACCTGGAGCCTTCTTTCATGTTACATGTTTACGTTGAGCCAAAGCTCAATTGTATGAGATGATCCATAGCAGCGTTTTAGCCTTTGGAGAAAACTACAAAAAAGCGGGAATGAAAAGAAACCATCGTGTTGTGCCCGGAGTAAGCTGGCTAAGATGTTATTGATTATTTTCCGTTTGGTTTGTGCTCCTTTTTTCTTTATTTTCCTTCCTGGTTTTTACAGTCTACCTACCAAGATCTTAAAGAGCTTGCTATTAGATCCTAATTATTTATGTTCTAATGAGATTCCCTACTCTGGAAATCCATTTCCCATTGTGCTTGGCAGGAAAGGATTAGGCTACCTGCAACGTTAAAAAGTGATAATGCAGATAAAAACAAGGGAATGTTTTTCCTTGCAGTTTAGAAGCAATTAGAATAAAACACACACGAGGCAGACAATACTCAAAATATCAGCTCAACGCCTGATAAAGCTGGATTGGAAAACATGTCAAATGGGGCTTTCCGCTCTTTCTCCTCAGTGCCCTGACTTTCTATGTAGCAGCCATCTACGTAGCAGCCAGGTGCATGGCAAGCCGTAGGAAGACGATGAGAATGTTCAGGAATGGGAGAAAAGCTGGAGAGTACTTTGGGTTTGCATTTGAAGAGCTTTAATGCCAACATATGGGGTGTGCGTGCTTGTGTGTGTGGCGCAAAAGCACATATCTACATTAATAGAACGTTTAGGTGTATTTATAGATTTGCTAACATATGAGGTGACATTATGAATGTCAAGAATATGCTTTCATCAGTCTTTAAGTAAATTGTCCTAATGTAAAAATTGGATGAGAGATGGCAAATGTTTGATCTAACATGCCAATTCCAATTAATGAGCAGGGATAGTGGCTACCTAAGGGTTGTGTTGAGAAAGATTTTGAGGCCATGTCAGGTACTGCACACACAAAAAAAGTACTGAAAGAAAGAAAAATCCCTGATTGATTAGTTATGTCTGCCATGGATACAAGAAGGGACATGGCAAGTTGTATGCTACATACTTTCATTCTTATAATAGATTGTGTACACTCTACACACTGTGATAATGCTCATCTGGATTGACCCTCCATATATTACTGCCTGTGACTAATAGGAAGCCCTTTGATTGCTGACATTAAAGTTCTTTAATTTTATTTTAGGCCTCAGTATGGTGGCAAGTTCTGTCCAGGTTCTAGCCGTATTTATCAACTGTGCAACATTAACCCCTGTAGTGAAAATAGCTTGGATTTTCGAGCCCAGCAGTGTGCAGAATATAATGGCAAACCTTTCCGTGGATGGTTCTACCAGTGGAAACCGTATACGAAAGTGGAAGGTAATTTGATCTCTATGAACCTCAGATATGTCTCAATGAGGACAGTCATGTGAATGAACAACACAGAAGAAGTTGCTGTCTATATTAAAGAGTTTCAATGTTTACCTTTTCATTCCCAGACCCAACCTGGCCCAATTTTTCATTCAGTTCCATAGGTTTTGTTTATTTTTCCATGCTTCTTTTTCACCCCTTGTCTCCCACATCTGTAAGCCAAAAAGTTCATGTGTTTGGAACGTACTTATGTTTCTAAATTTAACTTTGACATTTCAGCAATTAAGTCTCTCAGGGATGTTAATTGAAATTGGTATGAATTGTCTAGACCAAAGCTTATGAAACCATGTATGCCCCATAGAGACACCATACTCAGTAACTGACATGTGAGATGATTACAAGCATGGAAAGGTCTGTTTGCAGAGTGTGTATACACACACACACACCACCCCCCCCCCCACATGAATGAAAAGTGTCCCTGTACTGGGTTCCTATTATAACTTAAAGCAGTGGCTTGTATTTTACTTTTTAAACTAATTTGTTTTTATTTGGGCTAAGCATCAAAACATTTACTTAGGTTTCAATATACAAATTTAATGTACTTTCTATTACCTGTGCAGAATAAGCTGTCACTGTTCTAGTTGTTTGCTTTCTCTTATTTCGGTTCACTTGCTTTATCAAAACTCAACCACCCTCCCTTGAAAAAAAGATAAATATGATGAGAATAAGACTGAAGGCTGTTGCTGTGCAAAAGCTCAACAAGAATCTATGTTATCAATAACCATAAAGGAGCTAATGTAATTAGAGACAGACATCAATATAACAAGTGGCACCTCCAGATCAGAGGAGATGACAGTTCAACTTTACTCAATGCCAGACCAGTCATTGCAGGAGCCCTGAACTCTTTCTGGGTCATGACTGTCCCAAAGCACAAAGACAGACATGAAAATTCTGAAATCTGTGTCTAGGAGGAAGCAATGAGGGATCTCTAGATGTTTCCTGTAGAAAAGAAAATAGTGACCTTCAAGAATTTAAGGAGATATTGAATAGGAAGGGATTTCGATTTGTTTGAAATTGCTTCAGAGAACAGATTCAAGGGCTAAGAACTTCCTAGCCGTATCACCTTAGAGAGACCTTCCTTGCCGGCCTACCCAAAGTATCTGTCCTTCATGTCATTCTTTGAACCTGTAGCCAGCTTTAGTCTTCACAGCTCTTATCTGTGCCTGAAGTTATATTGTATAGTCATTTATTTATTATCTTTCTCCCCACAAGAATTTAGGTTCCATAGGGATGAAGCTTTTGTCCATTTTCAGTATGCTTGTATCTACAGCATATGAGAACAGTAATTGATACATCTTTATAACTTTTGGAATGAATGAATGAATGAATATCAACTGTCCATAATGGAAGTGTGTCCCTTTATGAGTAATAAGATCTCCATCACTGGAGGCATTCTATCAGGAACTGAGTAGTTACCTGGGAAGGATGCTGTACAACAGAGTCCAGTGGACAATTAGATAGAATAGCTTCAACTGCTTTCAATTCTGACATTTGAAGATTTATTTTCTCTTGGTTGTATTTTCCCATAATTCTGTGTTTCTTATCTACGGTTCTTTCTCCAAAACTCCGTTTCTGCTTGGATATTCCTTCGCCTGTCCCACATTACATCTTTCATTCAAATATAGTGTTTATGGAATCTGTTCCGTTATCATCCTTTAAATAGGTTCTGTCTTGAAGACATGAGGAGAAGGTTAAGCAAATAAATTTTATAACTTGCAAAATGTTTTTTGGTTTCAAAGTTCTTTCACTAATTTTACTGCAGTTTTTACTAAGTAGGGAGCATGCCGTGCCACTCATTCACTCAAAGATGCTTACTGAGCACTTACTGCATGGGACACATGGCTAGTTGCAGAGGAGAGTACTTTGAATAGAACAGAGACCCCAGCCTTAGGATCTCGCATCCCAGTGGTTGGAGACAGGAAAGTGGAGACCTCTGTGCCTCCCTCTGCTCCTTTTGGTACTTACTTAGAATCAGAAAAGACTGACCGTGATTTGAAGGTCTTGTGAATTCATGCAGTTTGGGAAGAACAAGGAGAATTTTATTCATAAATGTAGATAGTCTTTGACTTACGGTAATGAGGTTTTTTCCTCTTTCTAATGGACTAGTTTGTAAACTTGCCCAGGAATCTGTGCTGGAAAAACTGAACTTTACACAACTTATTAATTCCTGGGAATGATAGACAAAAGAGAGGGTATATAGGTCCTCCAGCTCCCTAATGTCATACGTAAAAAGTAGGGGGTGTTAAATACAGCTGCTGTTAAAAAAAATTTTTAGGTGAGAGAAAAAATTTTAATCTATCCACGTGTATGCATATTTGGACCATAACATGTGAACTTCTTTCACATTTTTGACTTTGTCTTTTATTGAGAGGTTTTATGAAGCAGAACCATTGTCAAACTGTTTACAGACTTGTTGTAAAACTGTTGTTAGGGATATCGCACAGTGTCACCTACATAAGGTCTCATGTGAGAAACGTCATCTGGAATTTATGGCCAAGAAGAGCTCTTTCTATTTGAGAAATTGGCATAATACTCCTTTCTGCTAACAAGAGCTCTATAAATATCATACTTTTTCTTTTTGCCTGAAAAATACTTTTTCTTTTCTTTTTGCCAGAAACTTCTCAGGGACTTAATGGTCAATAAAAGTTACATTTTTTTTTTTTAGCCTGAAGGTTTAGTTTATCTGCTTCCTTTTCCTTTTCATGACGTGATTATTTATATGTTTTATAAACGTTATTGACCATATGCCATTTTTCCAAAGTGCCTAAAATTTTTCCTGTTAACAGACTGTAAAATATGTAAAGTAATCCATGTCCTAATTCCTGGTCAGCAAACTATTTCCTGTGGGCCAAATCTGACCTGTTTTGTTTTTTATTAAATAAAGTTTTATTGGAACACAGCAATACGCCTTCATTTGTATACTGTCAATGGCTGATCATAGTGCCTGTGAAGCCTAAAATATTTACTCTCCAAGGAGGGCAGCTACACAACCCACCAATCATACAAGTTGTGGCTTTTACTAAGGATTAAAGAAATAAAATTCTTATGTATTAATATTAGGGCAATTTGATATGCATTGCTAAATGGGATTCATATTTTTAAAAACCACATGCATATGCTCTCATGCATGTACATGCACACACACCACACATAAAACTGTGCATAGCATTTTCCATTTTGACCATGATAGCTTTCTAAATAAATTTCATTCACCCGTGGTAGTCATGTCATTTTCCTATGATTTCCTCTTGACCGTGTCCTCTCTCTCGATCTCTTTGCTTCTAGAGGAAGATCGATGTAAACTGTACTGCAAGGCTGAGAACTTTGAATTTTTTTTTGCAATGTCTGGCAAAGTGAAAGATGGGACCCCTTGCTCCCCGCACAAAAATGACGTCTGCATCGATGGGATTTGTGAAGTAAGAGCATTTCTGCTTTGGGATGTATGGTCGTGCTTGTGTTTCCCCGTATCAAACGCATGCTGTGAGAAGGGCTGCAAGAGATTCCGTGTCCAGACAAGAGCAGGTGCCATAGGGAGAAAGGGCGACGTTTTCAGGTTGGCTGTGAGCACTGTCTCCAAATTCTCCCCTTACTTTCCCCATGACCCTCATCCAGTTTCTTCAGTTTCGCTTCCACTCGTTTTCCCGTGTATAAAAATGGAGATGATGACATATCCCACTTCACACAGTAGTTGTAAAAATTAAATAAGAATGTCAATAATAGCAGTAAACTTGCGTGCTCACTAAGTACATTCACTATATGATTAGAACCTCATAGATGTGTTTTGATATAGTGCTGCTATTTATTTCTGATTAGTTTCCCTTTCTCTTTGGGTTTCTATTTTCCCTTTTATTTTAACTTCGTTGTGAACTCTTTGATCTTTTAAGAGTGTGTGTGTTTGCATGCTGGCCAGCATTTTGATGTGTCAGTGGTAGACCTGGCTAGAATAAGCGCACCTGCCACTAGCAATGGTGGGTTTTTTACAGATGAAGTCTAAGCCTTAGATAGTTACATAACTTGCCTAATCATGCATCTAGAAATGGCAGAGGAAGGATTTGAACCCCTAGTCAGTTGAACCTGAGACTGTACGTTTAACCAGAAAGCTGTGCTACCTTCCTAATGTCCTGTAACTACAGAAAACCAGGTACCTTTCAGTTAGTCTTAGCCATTGGCTTCTATGATCTTCCATTTTCTCACTTGTTAATTTATTTTTTGGTCACAGCCAGTGGGGTGCGATCATGAACTTGGCTCAAAAGCAGTCCTGGATGCATGTGGTGTCTGCAAAGGTGATAATTCAACTTGCAAGTTTTATAAAGGCCTGTACCTCAACCAGCACAAAGCGAATGGTACGAGATGCTGCTGTTTCATTGCCAGCACTAGTGGGACACACCCTTTGCCACTGAACGAGTTTGAGTCATGCTAAGTATGGTCGAGCCTTTTACTAACTCACCTGACACATGGAAGATGATGGTTTTTGACACTTGTGCAAGAGCACCGGAGGATAGATGGTTTCACAGTGTGAGGAGTCTCACCAGGACATACGGCTCAGAGATGTATATTTAAAAACGCCTTTCTTCTTTGCAGTTTTAATATGCTGCCCAGGCTGTCATACGCCCCATGTACATTTGTTAAACAAAGAACTTATCATGAAACTTAAATGATCCACACTCACATTAGATGAATATTTGGAGTAATTGTCTAAACATCTTGAGTAAAATTAAACTTCTCTGAATATTGCTGTTGAGAATACATGGCTTTGCATTTCTTCCAGGTAGATTAAAAATAAAAAGCTTTCTTGAGTTTTGTGGCCTTTGTTGCTCTGGAAAGGAGAAGAGTGTTTTCTGTCCACACCCGCATGCTGGGGAAAGGCATGTACATCTTCTCTCTCTCTCTGGTGTTCCTACCACTTGGAAAATGAAATAATTGATCATTTTCACTTCACAAGAGTAGAAATGAATGTCAGTTAATGATTCTAAAACCCAACTCTATAAAAATAGACATTACATGTCTCTGGGCATTTCTGGTCACCTTTCTCCTGTGCACAATGTGGAAAGCAAAAATGTTGTGTTCTCTCCTTTTAGAATATTATCCAGTTGTCATCATTCCAGCGGGGGCCCGAAGCATTGAAATCCAGGAACTACAGATATCCTCCAGTTACCTCGCAGTCCGAAGCCTCAGTCAAAAGTATTACCTCACAGGGGGCTGGAGCATCGACTGGCCTGGGGAGTTCCCCTTTGCTGGGACCGTGTTTGAATACCAGCGGGCCTTCAACCGCCCGGAACGTCTGTATGCGCCAGGACCCACAAATGAGACGCTGGTCTTTGAAGTAAGCCCCTTCTGTTCATTCAGTTCTCAATGCCTCTTGCTAAATTTCTAGTGATGACCCCAATTTGAGCCAGCTTAAAGAACTCCAATCCTTCTCATTCAAATTTGTTTCCTAGTTGACTAAATTTCAAAGTGCAAAGGGGAAAAGATAACGACTCCATCTTTGGGAAGAAAGCAGGAATCCAATGGGTCTCCAAGAGAATGCGTTGATTTTCATGTTTAGATGCCAACCTTTCACTGTTACACTAGACTGTCAGGAATGCTAAGGAGTGTAGGAGGAGTACTTCGGGCATTCTTCTAGGTTGTCTATGCCTGCCATTTGGATGGTCCATTATAGCTCTTCACCACAGAGGTCGAGTGGCCTAGGAGGCAGTGATACGGTAGAAAGAACATGAACTTCAAGGAAGCTTTACTTGTAGCAAACCACCTTAATTCTGTGGGTCATTGTTTCCTTAGAGGTAAGAAAAGAAAAAAGTTCATGGGTAATGATGGCGATAATAAAAAGAGCCAACATGACTCTGCCAGACAATTATCATGTGTACATTTTCTTTGGTTCTCATAATGTCTCTGAGTTTGCTTTTTCCAGTTTGTAAAATGGGGCTGATCACTGACTTTCAGAAGCAAGTGATTTGCTTCAGATCGTGGAGAAGTCACGCTGGCTCCCACTTACTAAGGATTTATGTGACCAGGCACTCACGTTAGTCGTTTTGAGCTTCGACTTCTCACCTACAAAATTGGGATGGAAAACCTACCTCACTGACTTGCCAGAAAAATAAGCAAAGAAGTGTGAAGAAAGGTTAAGAGATTTGCCCAAATCACACAGCTAGGAGAAAAGCAGAGCTGAGCTGGAGTCCAGATCTTTCCACCTAGGAGTATGATATCTCCACACAGTCTAGTCATGCTGCTCTGCTCTTCTCAAGTAAAGGAAACATAAGCTTAATTCAACTATTATTTTTTTATTTGAGGCCCTAGTCTTTAACATTTACTAAGGAAGATGAGTGGAAGACGGTTAAAATATGACTATGTGTAACTTTGGGTTCTGAGTTATGTGTTGTACACTTAGTATGGTTAGAAGTACAGACTCCCAACTAGCTCTGTAACTTGGGCAAATTTCTTAGCCTCTGTTTCACTTAATGTCCACATTTGTAAAAATGGGCGAACAATACTGGCTAACTATTAGCGCTATCAGAAGGATAATTTAGGATAAGCTCAATGCTTACAGAGTATATGGCGTGTAATGTTTGTGACTATTATCATCATTTTGTCTTCTGAGCATATCACATATATTTTTAAATCTAAACCTCAAACCATAGTTAGCAAACTGGTGACCACAGACAAAATCCAGCTCCCAAATCTTCATCATGTTAAAACAAAATGGATCAATGGCTTAATATCAGGTGATTTCTTATAAAAATATAGATTTTGACATTTCTTAAGAAAAAGGAATTTCTGGCCCCAGTAGATATTTGAGTTTACACCTGGGCCTTAGACCTTGACCGTGGGAGTTGACTTCCCATTACCTTGTGAACTTGAGATACTAGGTCCTATCACCTCTGTGTGATAGAAGAGCCTTCAAAGATTTCACTTCACTTATTCTGAGAGAAGCTGTCACAAGGAAAGATTCTTCCAACTCTTCCAGGGTTTTCATTTCAGAGGATGAGAACAGGAACCTCAATCGAGTTGAACTAAAGTTAGGATTGTTCTGAGCTCAGCAATAAATCCAGCCCCTGCAATTACACTTTAATTAAACCTAATTCATAGAAATTGAACTCTCCAGTTAAAGATCTCGATTTTTTTCCCCCAACTTTTCCTTTAATGTATATGTTCTGTTTCTTTTCTGTCAAGCATCTGAACAGCAAACATCTTTCCCCTTTCTTCAGAAAAAGTGTATTTTCTTTAGAGAGGTGTATTTAGCTTGCAAGGTATCAGTTTTAGAGCAACATGGCTGCATCAGTTTCACCAAGAGGCCTTTGATCCACCTCTAAGCAAACGTGCACAAACCAAGTTCCGTGGCTGAAAAATGACCCGGATGGGGAAGTGGGGCCAGCTGCCTCTCACAGGGTCTGCCATGGGCGGTCAGAACAGAGTGTGAATCGTTGCTGATGGGGAATACAGGTTTTACTACTTCACGATGAGCAGCCATTTTTGTCGTTGTTGTTTCTCTCTCATTTTGTTCATAAACAAGAAACTATTCCAGTAGGTTTTCACAGTTCTGTTCATGACTTAAGGTTTGCTGTTAAACATATATTATCTGCAGGAAAACCACAACAAAGAAGGAGACAAGAAATGATGGAAAGGGCAAAGCAGAATAACAGAGTTTCTTCTTACTTTCATCTTTAGAACCTGAAATATCCCCTGGCGCTGTCTGTGTTGATGAAATTAACCAGATAATTGACACATTGTTGCTGAACATGATACCAGCCTCAAACTGAGAATTCTTATTTGTGCTTTGCCTTATCTAAGCACAGCTTCATCTCTTGTTCACCGACATTATTCAGTGCTAAAACTAAATCTTTGGATTGTTCCCCAGGGCCACAATTTTTCCTCATGTTTAGGAGCTATTTTTGAGAAATGGAAGGGCAGCCTCAGTGGGTGATGGACCCTCCAAAGTTGGTCAGTTTCATCCATCTCCTTGCAAATACAGAGAGCTCCTTGAGAAAAACAATTAAAATGTAAGGGGAAATATTGGATAGATCTAAATAAAATTATAAAAATATTAAGGCTTCCCAAGGTTCCATTGGATATGTATAATATATTTTTTAAAGTAAGTTTTTCTACTACATAAATAGAAATAAGAACTATATCAATATGTCTGTTAATACGAATCGTAATTTCGCCACAATAGAGTAGGGTCACATTCGCTTAGCCATTGTTTTACAAAGCCCCACTTTATGTACTCATTCCCCTTATAGAATCAATGAAAGCTTAAATTAATGTCCTAGGAATGTGACCTGTCTGAAAACAGTCTGGGGAGAGCCTTGCGTGAATTATTGGACATGGCTTGCTTGTATTTTTAAAGGAGTTACGGTTTTGTTCAAAACTTGCAAATAGGAGCTAAAAAATAAAATAAAATCCAGTAACCTAGTATTATGCTTATTTTATCTTTTAAAGGAATTTAGGTTAATGACTCTAATATTTATATTTTATTGCTCTCAGGAGAACATCATCAAATTTCAGGTCAGTTTTCATCAGGTGCTCGTACTTCTCCTAAATCGATAGAACACAGTGATTTCAAAAAAGTTAAAATGACAATAAGCAATAAGTTATATTTTTCCAGAACTGGACTATATATCAGTATCCAAGAAGTCTATGACTGTATTCTTTAAAGGAAGTTAAATAAAGTTCATATGCCTTTCCATACAACTATGTATTGAACCAAAATGAATACTTTTGGAGCCAAAAATATGTTCACTCCAATATAAAAATGTTGAATGTGTTTTACAATCCTGTGGGATGCTGAAATCGAAGTGTGGGAACCTACCAAAATGAAAAATGCCGTTCCATCCACAGAAAGTATAAGTCTATGAAAGAAAGCACTTTCTCTCTTGGCCACATAAAATTACAGCATGTTCACTAAGGTCTTATTATAGCGTAAAATTCAACAGAAGGGTCTGTTTGCTAAAACACATGAGGATGTCATCATGAGGATAATGTCCCTCCTCTTCTCTCATTTATACATATTCATCAGATCCTTCCAATATCTTAGCCAGTTATCTTTAACCATCTTAGTATGTATTGATTTAGGTAACTACCTTCAAAGCAATTTTCCTCTGTTCACTTCCTCTCCATATCTGGTAAAAAATTTAAACAAACATGTGCTGGGTGCCCATTCACTGCTCAGCCCTGCACTAGGCATTGGAGATACACAAATGGTTAAGTCATAAATCATGTCACCAAATGTTCAAGCCTCAGATCTTTAAAGAATGTAAAGAGAGAGTTTAGTATGTGGATCCCATTCTTTTTGGAAGCAACGTGGGTTAGAACAGGGAGCATCTGTATAAATAGTTGGCACTGTGGGTTGCTCTTCCACTCCTTATGTCACTTTGCATGAATCACTTAAACTATCTGGGTCCCAATTTTCTCATTTGCAAAATGATTTCCCCGGGCTAAACTAATGTCTTCCACTACATCCTCTAGCACTGTCCTGAAGCACATCTCTAGCACCTGAAACCCTACACTAGTAGAAAGATGACCTACTCATCTTTATAACTTCCAAAACTGGCATAATACATGGGACATTGTAGACGCTCAAAAAAAATTTATTCAATAAATGACATCCGATAGTAAGATTCATTCATTCAAGTAAAGAGTAGAATCTTCTTTCCAAATTGAAAAATCCTGCATGGAGGCAAAGATAAAGCAATCGAAAGGAGAACTTTTCTGACCAAAGTCAGGAGCGACAGGCCCAGTGGCCAGCCTGCTCCTCCCACTGTTTCAGCCCTTCTGTCCCAAACCACAGCTGTGATCTGAAGTTCTCCAGAGGCCTAGACTTCTGCAGGGCACATTTTAAAAACCACTGGATTTCATCATCTCTTCGGACTAGTGTTAGAACTGTACAGAGTACAGAGAGAAGCATTTAAAGTATTGAAATTTGATCTCCTAAATTGCACTTGAGGAATAATATGCTTCCTAAAATGCTTGCCTTTCCCAAAGTGAATCATTTACACGTAAGAAGTTGCTGACAATTTAGTCCACAGTAGATTTACCTTAATCTGGGAGAGCAGCAGCTTGCCCTCATAGGGTGGTGGGTTACAAGCTCTTGTCACTTATTTCTGGGTGTTCTCTAGTACAAGGCAGGGTAAAACAATCCTGGGAATAACTGACTGCTGTCAGTTAACCCCAAGAAATAAGTGCGTGGCTTGACACCAAATAAAAGTGTCTTCTGCTTCTGGTTATTTTTATATGTCAGAACTTTATAGAATGTCTTCATAGGGAAGCTCAGTAGAAACTAAATGGAAAACACACCTTCACTTTTCTCTCTGAGTCATGAGGCTGTCCAAT